AATGTAGCTGAACGCGTTGGGATTTTTACCCATTCAGTCTGGGTGAGTGGCGTGGAACGTGTCAACAATGGCAGTTTGCACCATCTTCACGAGTAGGGAGATGGGAAATGGAAGAATTCTCTGACTGGAAGAGTCACTCCGAGTCACTCAGTCGGTGAGGAGGTGAGTTGATTGATGGTGGAGAGCAGCGGTCGTTACGGAAGAAGGGCAGAATTTGTCTGGTTTTGGCTTCCTTCTTCCAAAGTTTTATTTAGACCCACAAGACTCCATCGGACGATCACCCTGACGCCCTTCCCGAACAGGGTTACGCCGTTGAGATCAAGTCCATAGCCTCCCCACGACTTTTGGTAAATAAAAAACAACCTTCGCCAAGAGAAAGTTTTTAGAGAGGACAGATTTTTTTGTTGGAAGAATAGTTTTTATGGAAGGATCGTTCTTGGAAAAATAGTTTTTTCGTTATTTCGGAGGAATGTAAATTGAAGGAGAGACAATTTTTTGAGGAACCGTTTTTGGAACGGATTATTTTGGGAAGAAAGACAAACCATCATCGGGATACGCTTCGTATGATTTTTGATGAAACCCTTTTGAATTGTGGAAGTTTTGGACCCCGCTGAAAATTCATCCAGGAGAATTCCACCGTTGACTCCTACCACGGCTCCAGTGAACAGGTTTTATTAATATTAAGAACCATTTAATTTGTAAAATCTGATTTTGATACTCAGGTATAACTATGTATCTCAACCATATGTAAAACCACCACAGTACTGTGTGGCTAAAAATGGCACACAATCCACCTGATAATTGAGTATAATTTGAGTATCCACTAACAGAAACATAATTTTTAATTTCTTTTGAAAAACTGTTCCTGAACCAGTGAAGAGCCAAATTTTAATAAAATTGTATGTGTTTATGTTTCATTTATTTGTCGATTCACACTCATCAACTTACGAACATCTTATAGTCAAGTCTCTAATAGTTCTGGGTATACCATCTAAGTAGTCATTATTTGGTTACTCAACTTTCCAAGTAAGTACTCTTTGACTCGATATTATAAAAAGTTGTAGTGGCGCCCCTCTCATTTTCCTTTGACCTTTAAATTACTGAAATTTTGCTCGAACCCATAGTGCCAACGAACCCATAGTGCCTACCGACGAAGAGCTGCCGTCTGCATTGTACCATTTATATAAATTTTTGAAAATTACCCTTTTGAGTGAAAGTTTGGTACAGTCGTCATAACGCAGAGATTGGAATGTCGGAGATCAGTGAAGAAGATGAAACAAAAGAGCACATACTCTGTGCCTGTCTCGTTACGCTCAGATTTTCAGAGTTAGGCAAAGTCTCAATATTGCAATCTAACTTTCCATCTTTTATTAAATGATACAGATCACCTGGATATTGAATTATATATATCAGAGAGACATTCATGTTGGAAGATTGCTCGCATTCGGCCCATTCCCAAAAAGGGCAACCAAACAACTATAATAGACTAGTCGCTTTGCAGTGATATCAAAAATCATGGAGAAAGTCGTAAACCACCATATCCTTGAATATTTGGAAGGCTTCAACATCTTGAGCAATCATCAATATGGCTTTCGGAAACAAAGATCAACAGGCGTATGTTACCCATATTTGGAATAACGCAATCGAGAAACATGGAGAGTCAAGAGCTGTTGCACTTGATATTTCTGAGGCCTTTGACCATGTGTAGCATGAGGGTGTGATGGCCAAACTTCGATGCTATGGCTTATCCAGCTTCCTTAAAGAACGTTTCCTGCGAGTGGCCTTCAATACTTTTACCGTCAACGCTGGTAAATCCATGTTCTCTCCAACCTTCTTTTCATTGTATATCAACGACTTATTGGAAAAAACAAGAATTCAATATATTAATTTGCTGACGACAGCAAACTTGTCTCATCATTGCATTCGGATTCCAAGACATCGACCATGCACATCTTCACCCTCAGCACGAGGTTGCACATTCCTAACGAGGATCTAGAACTGATTTCGAATTGGGGTGCAAGTAACCAAGTTAAATTCCACGAAAATCCAGGGATAGGTTTTCTCCAAGAAGGCAAATGTCTTCGAACCGGATGTAGTAATGTCAGGACAGACAATTCCACTTTCTGCTTGGATAAGTTTTGATGCTTCTTAAAGCTCAGATCATACCTTCTTTGGAGTATTGTTCTCTTGTATGAAGCGCTTACTCTAAGCATACCCTGAAGCTCCTGGATTCCATCCAGAAAAGAGCTATTCGCCTGATTGGAGACGCGAACATCATTTACAACCTTGATAGCCTGGAACATCGAAGAAAGATTGGAGATTTGTCTCTCTTCTATAGATACTTTTGTAAGTAGTCCCAAGCCCCAGTTGAGAAAGGGAAGAAAAAAATGTTACAAAGTTGGTCTCGGGGACCGACGATCAAAATCCCTGCATGATCGCGGCTACGCTCGAAGTGGAGATGGTCGTGGTTATACTACAGGTGAGCGTTTAGGTGATTAAAACAACAAGTCAGCTTACCTTACCTATGTGGGCGCCACCTAGTTTCCCTTCACAGCAAGTCCTACCTTAGCTTCTTTCTAAAGAACTAGGAAATCAGAAAAGGAAAAGCCAATTCCCAAAAATATAACCCTGTATATTTAATTAAAATTTCAAGTGACAAACCAGTACAGTTAAGGACAAAAAAAGTTTAAATTGTTCATATTGTGCCACATCGCAACGTTTACACAAATAAGTCACATGTATCTTCAGTTGAATTACAACGAATAAAATAGTCTATATAGGGCAACTAAAAATGAATTTAGAGGTTGTTCATTCCTCTCGGTACCTAATGCATTAATATATGAAACTAAACGTTTGAACTGTCTATATATAATAGAAAAAAATACTGNGTGCTGACTACCTCACTACAGAAAATGGAATATTTCCCAAAATGTATTTTCTACTTAAAATCCACAAAGAAGGGATACCTTTAAGAACAATTCTCAGTTTTATAAATTCCCCTATATATAAAATATCAAAGTGGTTTAGTGAAATTTCAAAAACTGGCTTTGAAAAAGATGATCATCATGTGAAGGACCCTTTTTTGATTTTTCTGTTTTTATTCGAGCTACTTTATCCACCATACTTCCCAGACCTTTTGCCAATCGAGCACTGCTATAAGTTTCCTACCGGTAGAACCTTCGCCTATCAGGACTTGGTTGAGTGGTAAGCGTAGGCAAAACTCCGACAATATAAAAATAACAGAGGCCATTTATTTTTCCGATTCATCAGTTCTAATTATATCCCCATCAGTTGTAGAGATGAGGCAGTGGAGAACTGTTGACTATACTTGGGTTAGGTAAAACGTTTATCTTTAAAAATACACGTTCATACATATCCTGTCAATTCAATTATAAATATATTAAAAACCTAGAAGTGACCCAAACATTGCTGATAAAGATAATGTATAATAAAAGCTACAGATTTCTTTACCTCCAACAATCTAAGCTATCAACTGTACTTCCTTAATCTTGCATCTTACCATCACCAACACAAGTATGAACTCTCCCAAATATTCCATACAATACTCTACTGAAAACCAAACAACCAGAATAATAAAAGTTGAAACTACAAAAAACCAAAGAGTCCTCTCTTATCTATGCCCGATATTTACAGAAAAATCCAAAATGAAATAAAAACACTTAATAGTCGTTTCCTATTTGAAAAGAAGTTGAAGGTATGGATTTTAAACCAGCCCCCCGAACCAATTCACGAAGCTTTTCAAAGAGAAATTCAAAAAACAAGTTTAATACAAATTGGACCCTAACAACACATAGACACAGAAAACTTTAAAGTACATTCAACTTGAACTGCCTTAAATATACTGCTTATATTTGTGAACATCAAAAGAGATTTAGAAATAATGAACGAAAAAAAATAGATTAATATCTTTGTGGGCGCCCCATTTTACCTATATCCCATACTCAATTCACTTTTATTGTTATATTTTATTATCAGTGTATAACTCTTTGATCTAAACTTATAGTGTACATAAGACATAGCGTCTCTCAGTCAGAAAATCAAACTCTGCTCTACTTTGCCAAGCTTTCGCTTCTATTGGGAAGCTTCTTTAGGGCCTATAATTTAATGAGTTGTAAATTTTTTCGCCATTGAATAACATTACAATCCATATTTACAGTAAAAATGAGAGAAAAACAATTATTGAACATACATAAATTGACGAAAAAGTTATCTAACATTCAATATATTAAACAAATCAATACCCACTCCTAGAAATAGTAAACCTAGAGAAGATCCAACACAAAGAATAGTACCTAATGTAACCCAAATACAGGCAAATTTACCTAAAGAACCTGGAGTATCTGTATTGTGGCGTTCGGAACTTATAAAAGGACATACAACAGGATAACACGTTCAGTTTGAGTAGAGCACGACCAGCTATCGAAAACGCTCGCATATAATTAAATCTGTTTTTTAAAAAAATCTGTTTTAAAATATGTTTTTCCGTTAATCAGCTGCCGCCCCCATACGAACTACAACTCTCAGTAGTTGAGAAACTTGTGCGAGCTAAGGACTAACGAGGTCTTACCTTTTAACGTGTGATTCCTAAAATGTTGTAAAGCTTCAAATCCTTTTTGTGACTTACATTGTTGTGTTTTGATTTGTATTTGTTCCTCGATAAGTGAATTATGACTGCTAAATTTATGGATGTTATATTGGCTTAAAATACTTCAGTTTTTACGTTAAATAACTAAAAATAACCAATTTGCTCTTACTGGCTTACTGTTGCTTTTCAACCAAAATTGTACTCTTCTATGTATTCCTCGATTTTTTTTTCACTGAACTTTTCAATTGTACTTGAACCTCCACGGAAAAATTTTTAATTGAAAATTATAACATCGGACATCATTGATCCAAAACCTTTTAAATAATCATCAAATCGTTACGAGTTTCACCGTTATGCTGAATCGGCTCAAAATACATTTTTGTTTTTGTTTCAGGATATTTGCTTTTCAAGGATTTTTGCGAAAATGTATCAGATGATCCGGTGCCTCAGTTGCGGTTTTATGAAGAGGTTAGTAAAATTTTCATAACATCCATATAATTTATAGCCATTGCAGTAAAATTCACATCTTGTCGTTATGCAGTGCCATTTTTATTGATTTCATTCCAATATGCAATAAACGGAAAAGCTGATCGGATATTTTGTAAAATATATCGAGTTTTTGAACTCATATTGAATCATTATGAAAGACAAATAACGGGTATTCCAACAGTTTCCAACGAAATTTGACAATTGATCGTTATCAATTGTCAAATTGTTAAAGCTACACCTGTCAAATTAGTTGTCATTCATTTGGTCTGTTTTGCCAAATCACCATGGACGGATATAGCATTCAAGAATACGTGCAAATGATAAAATTGTTTTATTAAAATGGGTGTTCCGTTCAGGAAACGTACCGCGCGCTTTGTCTGGTTCAGTGAACGATCCACTTACACCTGTACGTCGACAAAACGCAAGATCTGCCGAAAATATTGCCGCTGTCTATGAGAGTGTGCAGGAGAATCCGAGGCAGTCGATTTTGCGTCGCTCGCAAGAACTCGGCCTTTCGCGGACCACAACTTGGCGAATTTTGCGTCGAGACTGAAGGTTCCTGGGTTAGTTAGCATGTCAGTGAGTCATGCAGTGCATAAATACTTCTGAATACGGCCCTGTTTATTTTCGCGTAAATACAGAAACGATTCTCTATCTATAAGGGAGCTAAAAAGATGTCCTTGCTGGTCAAACAGGAGTACTACATGATCGACAGGAGAGAATGGATCTAAAAATCTCTCTCGGTTCGCTGTGAAAAACGACTCGTTATATCTACGCTCGTTATAAATACAGAAATCAAGTGTTGTGCGTATCCCCATCCTCAAGGATAAAAGTTAACATCCGACTTCTGACTATGGCGGCCGCCCAAGATCTGCAAGACCACCAGGGAGGAAAGTTCCAAGGTGACTTGTTTCTGGCGTACCTGACTCAAATTCGCATAATATAAATACAGTCCACAAGCATACTATCGTTACTCAACAGTGTTTTTGAATTATTTCTTTTCTTTTTGTTTTGAAGTACTAAACGTACCAGATTTTTCAACAACCTTTGTCAATAAGATTGTATTTTCTTGGTCAATAAAGTATACAGTACGATGCAAATGTATGGAATAAATTCGATATTCACAAANAAATGATTTAGAAGAGTTGAAGGAACGCATCAGAGCGGAGATTGCACAAATAACCCCCGAAGTTCTCGGAAACGTTAGAAATGAATTCAGTGCCCGGCTTTCACATTGCATCATAGCTGAAGGTCATCAATTTGAACATTTATTATAATTTTATTGTACTTCAATAAATAACATGTTTTGGTTCATCTTGTATAAATGAATATTGGCATGGTTATACCGTTGAATAGATGATTAGTAGACCTTTTGAATGAGGTGCCACATGACCCCTGTTTGCATTTAAAAAATTGTCGATTACGTCCTCACGCCAACACCGGTGACGAAACGTCTTTCATATGAATATCATGAGATGGGCCGTCAAAAAATAAAGTTGACCTGTTTTTGGATTTCTTCCGAAAGACGCTCATTTTGTAAATATCGAATTTATTCCATACATTTGCATCGTACTGTATATCTATTTATGTCTATCTAAACGACCAACGGCGTGTGTTCGCTGAACGGGCTCTGCAGCAGTTGGCACTTATCCTATTTTTCATTGAAAAATCATCTTCAGTGATAAAGGCCTTTTCTGGATTCCTGGTTATGTGAACGAACGAAATTGTCGAATTTGGGACGATACCAATCCACATGAGATCCAAGAGCCTCCTAGTCATCCCGAAAAACTCATTGTTTGGTGTAGATTTTAGGCTGGCGGTGTCATCGGTCCATATTTCTTTGAGAACGACTTTGGCCATCTTTGTCAACAGCGAGCACTATAGTTTGATGATTACCAACTTCTTTTGGCCTGAATTGGATTATCTGAACACCAACGACAATGACATGTGGATTCAACAATTGTATGGTGCTACACAGCTCATGCTACATTGGATATTCTGCACGAGCTATTTAAGAACATGGTCATCTCACGAGGAGGTAATGTGAACCGGCCACCGAGATCGTGAGATTTAACTCCGTTAGACTTTTTCCTTTGGGGCTTTTTTAAGTGGCAGGTGTATGCGAATAAGTCAAAAACCACAGCGGCCCTCAAAGGCAACATAACTCAAGCCATCTGTCAAATTCAGCCTTGATAATGCGCCAGTCATGGAAAATTGGACGTTTCGGATTTGCCGAAGCTATTTTTCGAGTTTTTTTCGCCGTAGTTTGCAGGCTTTTATGTCTGACGTGTCGTCAACACTGTGGTAGATATATTCAAAACCAGAAACTACAGTGGTGTAAATTTATCTTTGGTTTTTCAATATCATAGGCGGGCGATGCTTTGTTTCTCTTAATTAGATCATCTGACCTTGTTTGTGTATAATTAAGCACAGGTAGCCATATTTCATTAATGTTCATTGCCTCTTCCTTTCTATACAAATTATCCCGGTGTTTCTGAATTTCTATTGCCTCTCTATATATTCTTGGTTACTAATTTTGAGTTTCATCCAATATTACTGTCATTAGTGTCAGAGCATTTTCGGCTACAGCTGATTTGTCGATTTCTCTTGTGTTCAGAGAGACGGATAACTATACTTCTTTTCGTAGTTTCCACAGCTACAAGGAGTCCAACATATTCCTGGTGTTGCTAAAGGCTTTCTGGAGTCCTCAACTGACCTCAGACTTTTTCTGTTTTTGTTGGCCTGAATGTTGATTTCACGTCGTGTTTCTCTAAAATTCTCCCAATCCGAACTGTAACATTCTTAACCTAGACAAGAAAAGGTTTTTCCTCTTTTTGGTCGTCTAGTAAATTCCTAATCGAATAATTTCCAAGCATTCCAGAAAATTGAGTTTCAAACCATTTTCTTCCAAATCGCACCTCCTATGTTCTTTTATTCTTTCAGAAAATATTCTCCCCGCTTGGCCAACATAAAGTTTTGGGCAATAACCACAAGTCAACTCACATACTCCTGATCTATCCGACACTGAAGATTTGCCTTTATTGTTTTTGACAAATTTGCCTAAATTATTATTTGCACTGCAAATTTGCACTGCAATCTGTCATGTTATTGGTGGGATCTCCAAAAATTATAATGTCTAATGACGCTTAAGGTAGGTTAAGTCAGGTCCAAAGTGAGTGGGTCTATTCGACCCTCCACCGCAACCCGCAAGGGTTTATTGTGGCTCACGCCTATTCACACTCGACCAAATAAACCCAGCTTCTCAACGAAGCAGATTAGTTTGTATAGTGAGTGGTCGTTCAGGTCAGATGGTAAAAGTACGGCTCTGCAGCACTCTGGAAACCTGATTCGGTCCTCAGCGGGGCAGGCACAAAGTATATGCTCTGCTATTTCATCGTTAATGCGGTAGTCGGATAGTCAAGGTGCAAGATTTCCACCTTGATAACCGCGACAACCTTTCCATATGAGGGATTTTGCACGTCAACCACACCTGACGATGCCTTAGAATCAACCGTGCAGGACTTTTTTGCCTCTGGTTTTGGTGAATCATCACTTGAGCGTAAATGTTTGCTAATCTGCTCATGAGGGGTTTGTTCCTTCACCTGAGACAGATTCTGCGTACGCCGCTCAAGAATTTGGTGCAAGGCGGTTTCATAAGGTACCCCGCTCTTCAGGAGACGACTCAGTCGTTCAGTTATTGGATCAGGATTTGGGGAGTCGAGAAGCTCTCGCTTCTGAACTAAATTTACAGGGAGGTCAGTTGGAGTCGTAAGCTCGCTATCCATCTCCTTTGTAGACTCAGCGTCAGAAAGAATTTTTGAGTTTACTCTGTCCATAAAAATTCCAGGAGTAGCTAGGGAAAGAAGGTCAATCACGGCAGTGCTCCGCATTACCGTGACAAGGCGATGCTACGACGAGAGGGCGCCAAGTATTTCGAAGGTTTTCTAGAGACAACTGTTAGGCTCAGTGTCATTCATCCACGGATATAGACACTGATATTCAGTTAGGGAATAACAGAACCACAAGTGATTTTGTCATTCCCGTATCCACCGGGGCTACGTGGAAGCAAGCATCCGATGGCCGGTTTGCTCAACCCCCACATCCCAACTCAATGGGATAATATCTATAATATCTACCTTCAACCCGTTGTAGACAGTAATTTGTTTGGTGCAAATAGTTCATCCTCAAAATTACTTTCGCACAGTGGAATATTCAATAGTCTGTCAAACATACTATTGAGCACAACACTACTACTTTATTTTGAAAGGGATGTGTCGAGTAATTATCTGTGACAATGTCCGTGTAATATGGCTTGTGGAAAATTGAAAAATCATGTATAATTTTAATCGTAGCGCTATTCATTAAGTAGAAATAGCCATAACCCAGCTTTCAATATTCAATAGCCTTTTCTTCTTCAAATATTTCCAATGTATGTTTATCGTTTTATATACGTGTGACGTATAATAATGAAGTAGCCACAAAATGAAATTATTCGAGTATCCATAACACCGTGCACGTGTAAAACATTAATTTACATCGTCACTAGTATATAAGTCTTAGAGAAATACCTATTCTTTGACGGCAAAATATTCTCTGACGCAAAATGACTAAGCATTTGCAATAAAAACTGGGCAACATTCAATAAATTATGATTAAAATTTAAAAAGGATCTGCGATTTTTTTTTTACTTGAAGTACATTACTGATAACTCAACAGCTTTAGAATATCCTATCTAATTGTCTTGTTTTGAGTTCATGAATGAATTGAAAAAATGTTGGATAATTACTTTAATGAGCGTTAATTACTAACTGATGAGGTGCACCGTTTGCGTGTTATCATAATATATTTCAAATGACGAGGATATTTTAGTAAGTTGTAATATTAATTGTTACTATTTTTGAAGTAGCTACAAAGTAAGCATTACAATATTTCTACTCGTATGTGTAAAGTGACATGGAAATCGTCTTGAAAAAAGAAGCACTAATCAAATATCCAAATATTTAACATATATGGTTGACAATATTTCACTGTCTAATATTTTTTGTAAAGATAAAACACAGCAAGTGATGTGATGATGATTCGAAATCTATGAAGGAACTTCAGCACTTCAACTCATACAGAGGAAGCTATCCGAAGATGAGAATCTGGAAGATAGAACGAACTGACCGATAGAGGTAATCATAGAATAACTGTACGGAACTGCTATTTCCAACTGAAGAACGAATTCTTTACGCAAGGTGAGGGAATGTCAATGCGCTCATCACTTTCACCGGTTATATCCAAAATATATGTGGTTTGAAACTCTGGCCATTGAAGAAGAGGGATCGACAAGACATGCTCTAGGTGGATGGACTGCATGTGTAGGGGAAGATTGGTATATACAACCATTATGGGGGAAACAGTCGTGGCACGGGTAGCAAGGAGCTGTCCTCAGAGGGGGGTTCTGTCCCCTCTGATATGGAACTTTGTAATGGACGAGCTACTAAGTCTCTTGGTCCATAATGGGTATGAAGCACTGGACTATGCAGACGACCTAGTCATCTTAGTCCAAGGTAAATACAATAATGTTGTGAAGGGATGCATGCAGTAGGCCCTGAACATTATAACAAGATGGACCGAAGAAAAAAGGCTTAACATAAGCCCATCCAAATCGACCATAGTAGCATTCACCAAGAGGACTAAAACGGAGGGTCTCCGACCTCTAAAACTTCGAGGTAAAGAAATACAAATGTCGAGGGAGGTTGAATATCTGAGAGTAACCCTAGATTCCAAACTGTCCTGGAACCAACACTTGGACAGGATAAAGAAGAAAGCGGAGGTTGCAGTGATGCTTGCCAGACGCACCTATGGAAAAACATGGGGGCTAAAACGGGACATGGTATATTGGCTATACAAGACGGTGGTTAAACCCATGATAACATACGCATCTCTGGTCTGGTGGCCAAATATGAAGCGGGCGACCGCCATCAACAAACTAGGCAAGGTGCAAATACTTGCGTGTTTGGGAATAACGGAAGCATTGAGAACTACCCCAACAGCTGCATTGAAGACACTCCTGAATCTACCTCCTTTACACTTTGTGATCATGGGGAGGCCAGGATGGGCCAGTTCAGACTGAAAAACTCACCAAACTACACCTTTAACACCAACTTCACGGCCAAAATCATAAACCGTGAAGAGTGGAAGACCATTAGTCATCCCGAAAACATGTTTAGGAAAAACACCTGGTATACAGATGGATCGAAGACCAAACATGGAACGGGAGCTGGAATATACCGAGCGGATAGAAATTTAAACTACAGTTTACTGAATTATACACATCCGTCTTTCAGGCGGAAGTGTATGCTATCTTGCAGTGTTCAAGGCTTTTTAAATTGAGACCTCAAAGAAATGAGCGAATCAATATTTTTACAGGCAGCAAGAGCGCACTAGGGGCTCTGACAAACCCGAAGGTGACATCAAAACTGGTTTGGGAATGCCATGAAGAACTGAATGAACTTGCAAACAGGAACAACTGGGTGCCAGGATATTCAGGAATCACAGGCAATGATAATGCTGATAAATGCGCTAGACGCGGATCACCAACTTCATATATAGGTCCTGAACCAGCTCTGGGGGTACCAAAATCATTGGTACGAAACCAGATCAGCACACAGTGTACTGGATAAAAGTACCTGGCAACAAACACAGTAGAAGCTTCATTGGGGAACCGTCCGAGAAAAGAACCGAAGAACTACTTCAATATAGTAGGGATCGGCTCAGAATGATTACAGGGTCACTAACCGGTCATTGTCCGCTTAGAGGACACCTGAATAAATTAGGGCTGTACAACGGAGACCTCAGCTGCAGATTATGCAACGAAGGGATGGAAACAGCTCTACACATCTTATGCGAATATGAGGCACTGAATCACAGGAGGCAGGCAATATATGGACATACAAAATTACGCCCAGAGGAATATGACGAACATCCAATACGTAACCTGTACAAACTAGTACTGGGAACGAGACTGATGGAATGGGTTTGATGAGAAGATGGGAGAATGAACGCCCAAGAGGCTGCAGTGTTTTCTGGAGACTTGGACTAAATGGGCAAGTCAAACAGCTCCCAAGGTACAAAAAAAAGCCCACAAGAAGCCCCAAGCCTGGTTGGGATACATTGATGATACCTTCATAGTATGGAACTATAGAAAACAGAACTAGACACCTTTCTGAAGCACATCAATAGCGTAAAACCTTCCATTACTCTCATAAAAGAGAGAAAACAGTCCACAACGAATTGGCATTATTAGACGTATTGGTGAAGAAGATCGACACTAAATGGGAAACATCTGTATGCCGGAAAGCCAGGATACGGGACAGTATCTGAATCACGATCCAACTACCATCACTCTAACAAAAGAGGAATCATCAAGACTCTACTGGATCGTGCTTGAGGGCTCTGTAATATGAAGGAAGGTCTTCAGAAGGAACTAAGCATCATCAAAAAAGATCTTCAATGGAATGGTTACTCCAAAGTGGTGGTGGAACAGACTTTGGCTGAAAGACAGCAAGAGCTCCGCAAGGAAGAGAAGCCGTCACAACCAGTGCTTGCACTTCCCTACTTCATAGGAGTATCGGAAAGAATAAGAAGAATTGGGTCCAAGTACAACCTGCTTCAGATCCGGAAACACTATCCGTAGCAGCGGGAAATCCTATATCGTGAAACTAAGAGGCAATTGAAAGTTCGCATTGCCGTGCACAAGAAACACACACAGCAAGGGGAAACCAGCAAATCAGGAATAGCAGAGCATGTTTAAGACTCAACCTCTGACGGAAGCAAGAAACTCTTTGGAAGGTTCGAATTAGATGAACATTTCAATCTAGCACACCACTATTATAATATTCATACAGTCATTGTTTACGGTGGTTCTGGCGTTGAATCTGGCCATTATTACGCATTGGTCAAAGACGAAACGGACTGGTTTAAGTTAAACGATGGTTGTGTCACGAAGTGTTCTGGTGATGTATTTTATCTATTGGAGCTTGTGGAGACACCCACATTTTGTTTTATGAATGAGAGGACATTGGTAGATCAAGATTTTCAGATGATGTGGTGCTGCAGGTTTTTCTGGGTTCTCCTGCAGCTGAAAAAATGAACTCGCCCTGGGGCGCCAATTAATTTTTATTGTTGTATTATTGTTATCGTTGTTGTCTTCAATATTGAAAGAAATTTATTCAATTTCTTAGTTTTCCTTTAGTTTCACATCGATGCCAGTGACACCTTACTTCGATGGCAGAAATCTTTCATTTCACATTGACAACTACGTAATGATTAGCTGACATTCATGATGTGTCTGACAGTCATTTCCAAAACTGTCAGTCATTAAACTTTTTCGATGGAAAATCCAAATTCATAATGTCTCGTACTTTGCTCAGTCGGAACCTACCTAAAACCCTAAACCTCTGTATCCGACATCGGAACGGATCAAGCTGCTCAAGAGTTCCTTTCCTCAAGTTTAATAATGGCGATACATTCCCAATGTTTGGCTTGGGAACTTGGAAATCGAAGCCGAAAGAAGTATACGAAGCTGTTAAGTACGCAATAGATATCGGTTACCGCCACATTGACTGCGCTCCTGCCTACGAAAACGAATCGGAAATCGGTGACGCTCTCAAAGAAAAAATGGCAGACGGTACCGTCAAGCGCGACGAGCTCTACATCACTAGTAAGTTGTGGAACACGAAACATCGCCCCGAAGACGTGGAGAAAGCCCTGAAGAATACTTTGAAGATGCTCTGCCTCGATTACCTCGATCTCTATCTGATCCATTGGCCTTTCGCGATGAAGGAGGGCTACGAATTGTTTCCCACCAATCCAGACGGAAGCGTCGCTTATAGCCACGTAGACTACCTCGACACTTGGAAAGCCATGGAGGAGATGCAGAAGAAATGTCTCGCAATGTCTATCGGAATATCGAACTTCAATAAGAGGCAGGTTGAACGTCTTTTGAAGAAGTGTAAAATAAAACCGGTCACGAACCAAATCGAAGTACACCCTTACCTGCACCAGAAAGAACTGATCGAGTTCTTGTGGGCCCATGATATAGCCGTAACAGCCTACAGTCCCTTTGGTTCTCCAGATCGACCTTGGGCTAAACCCGACGATCCAAAGGTGCTCGATGACCCAGCGATCAAGGCTATCGCGAAGTGTTACGATAAGACCACGGCTCAGGTAATTCTCAGGTATTTGATCCAAAGGGGCCTCATCACCATTCCCAAGTCCGTTACAAAGTCAAGGATCAAGGAGAATTTCGAAATTTGGGACTTTCGTCTGTCTATAGAAGATATGAACATCATTAACCTCTTGAATCGCAATTGCAGGGTCTGCGATTTTTCGTGGGCTGTCACTCACCAGGATCATCCTTTTGCTAGAGATGAGTATTGACTGGATATATATTTGATGATGAATCTGGTTTGTCTGGTGTGATCGTATTTTGTGAAATGAAATATATTCTCTCATGTGTAATAAATGCTGTATGTAAAATCTTTATTCGTTAGGCGCTGGTATAAGCATAATAAGAATAGATAATTAAAGGACCAGGGAGGTCACTCCCAATCGATGCAAAATGACGACGAACAGTTGGGTCCACTTACCTGTTGTTCTGTCGACGGATAGGATGTCCGCAAGGCTTCGAATTTGCGTTCTTCAGTTGCACAACACTCTAGAGTTTCGATTTTTACACATATAGCAAAGAGACTAATCACAAAAATGCGGAAAAAATACTTTGAAAAGCGGAGTCCGGATTTTATTGCTGAGCGAAAAATGGCGGTATTCTTCTCTCCTTCTCCCGCGCATGTCTGAGTTTTCCCAACTACATTTGCGCGGTGAAAGAATACCGT